TGTATCTAGGAATCTGTCCATTTCTTCTGTGTTGTCCATCTTATTGGTGTATAGGTTCTGGAAGTAGGTATTGATGATCCTCTGGATTTCTTCTGGGTCTTTTGTTATTTCACCCTTTTCATTCCTAATTGCATGGATTTGGGCCTTTTCTTTCCTTTTTCTCACAAGGGCCCAACAATTCTTTCTCCCACAGGAGATTGCATTTGGTCCAAGAGAAACACTTGGGCTCTGTGCTCATGCATTCTTTGCCCTGAGAAATTTCCAGAAACAGTTACTTTACTGCAGAGGTTAAATGGTCAGCTTCTGCCCTTATGTCTCATCAGCAGGGAGGGAGCCTTGACTCCTTTTCACATACCTATTTCTTGGCTTGAGGTGTAAGGCAGGGCAATTCTTTGCAAAAAAGTTAAAAACAATCCCATGCATCTCTGTGCTGCTAGCAATGCTGATTCTTTACCAGAGTGAGAGCTATAGGTGTCTACTTGCTGCTAATTCATTGTGCTTAACATTTATGTCTTGTAACTTTTCTCTGTGTTAGACTCAATAATTCAAATTAAGGAAAAAAATAGTGAAAATATCACCCAGGTGCTAAACACAACACAGCAACTATCTTCTAATATTCAACTCCCCATGTTGATATACTTTCCATGTAGGATTTTTTCCTCTGGTTGTTAGATTCTTTCAATAATTTTACTACTTATTCTGGCTCATTTTAGAAAGATTCTCAGTTGAAACTTACATTTCAATGCCTACACGTTTATTTTAACTACAATCTAAGAAATACATCTAACACTATATCGAGCCTTTACCTACATCATTTCAAGAAAATATTTCAGCAAACTCAAAAGGTTAAGAATTATTGCACCTATTTTGCAAATGAGGAAACTAAGACTCTAGAGATTGAGCAACTTGATGGAGGTTGCAGAACAAATCCACGGGTGTGCCAAGATTTGCACCCAAATTGCTTTGATGCCACAGTGATGCTTTTTCCTCTAAGAACATTTTCTGCCTCAGAACATGGGTGCCACCTGGGAGCTGCCACAGATTATGAAGAGAAGATTGCAGTTCTGTCCATGGCGAGTTTCCAATACTCTCATTTGCGAGCACTTGTAGGAAGATCTCAAGACTGGAGGACAAAGCTTTCTTGAAATTGGAAATTCTGTGGGAGGTTTCCGGCTTTGGGGATGGGCAAAGCTCTACCTAACCTATCCTAAACACAGAGTGAAAAAAGGAGAGGGTATTGTCCTCAGAAACTTTCTTGGCCACTGTGGTTGGTTGACGTACTTTATCCTGCAAAGTAAGTTATTTGTTAATTTTAAAATGGTAGAATGGGAGCTTAGTTCCTTGTCATGGAGTTGGGAAGCATTTGTCCATTATGCCAATTGAGGGAAACAGAACTTACGCTCCAGGTGAACCACATATCTGGTCTTTGCCTGCATGGTGCAAGTTGCAGAGAACATATTTATTCAGCAAATATTGAACAAATGAATGGGGAGCTATTAAGTGAATGGTGGTGCTGGTGCTGTTTTTCTTTCTCTTTCTCTCTTTCGTTTTCTCTCTTTCGTTCTCTTTCTTTCTTTCTTTCTTTTTTTCTTTCTTTCTTTCTTTTTGATTCTACAGCATACAACCTCACAGTACTGAGGCCTGTGATTTAATTAATTCTAGTGGTGAGTGAAATATTTAAAGTGGATCAATTTGGTAGTAATGCACATGTGTTGGAACCAGTTTCTTGCATTATTTTGCTTAGTTTCCTGGTAAACTTAATCCATTGAACTTAAAATGTATCTTGAATGTATTTTTTCCCTAAAATATGATTTATTTTCCTCATTTTAAACATAATCAAAATTTACTATAGATAATTGGAAATATTAAAAGAGGCTAGTATCATTCTCTAAAACTTATCCATTCTAAGAAAATTGTTAACCTTTTTTATCTAATCATTTTTTGATTATCTTAACTCAGGATATGTAAATAATAAGGTCTTATTTCACTTGATACAAGTTCTTATAAAATCCCCTTTAAAACATATATTTTAACATTTATATGGTATTTTATCATGTGAGTAAATCATAATGTTCTTAAACATTCTTCCATTAGGGAATCATTAGTTTGTTTTATTCCTGTGTTCTTATGGCTGAAATAAACATCTTTGTGTGTAAAAGCTTTTTTTTGAAAAAAATGTTTTTATTTACATTTGGTGATATTCCTAAGGGTACAATTATGGGGTCAAAGAACATAGATTTTTAAATTCTTTAGTGCTGTTTCTTAAGAAATTGGAGAAAGATTTTAATGCAAAGACATGCAAGTTCTTAAAGATAAATGGTTGGAATATAAACTGCATTTGTCTTTTACTTTTTTCTTATAGTCTTCTTAAAATAAGATCCAAAGTTAATGAAACTACTTGAAACAACTTTACTTATTTTTAGAATACCTATTTTGAAGGACTTAAAATTATTTTATTGCATTAAATTGCACAATTTCTTGAGGTAGGTGGCAAGATTATTATATGAAAATTAAAAAAAAGTAGCGTTAATAACTTTTTTCAAATTCACTCAAACAGGATTCAGTGGAGCTCCAAATAAAGCATCATCTTTAAAAAAAATATTACTTACTGTGTATTTGCACCTTTAACTTCTACTAAAAATCTATTCATATAGCAAAGAGAAAAATTGTAGATGCCACTAATAAATCTCCTCCTTAATGGAATTTTTGGGAAAAAAGAGAGGAGTCAAGGGACATATAAGAGAAATTTCCTTATTTGGAAGTATTTTAAAGAATTCATGTAAAGAATAAATTGGTATGTATTCATATTCCTGTTTAGATACATTTAGACA